GCCGTTCGCTTGCAAAACAAATGACTGACACCAGGATAGTCGGGTACCCGTGCAAAGCGGGGGCGGGCCGCTAGTATATAATAATAATAATATACTTACTGCAAATAAACTTCGAGATTCCGTGAAAAAACTGAGAAATTGTTCAAAAAGCTTCAACAAATATTCCCTCAATCCTAGAATTTAGTCAGATATTTTTTACTTGGCAAAAATATTTTTAGAATTGTAACTTCAAAAAGTACATAAGAGTCAGTATCAATATAATTTGTTCAATAGCCTTATAGGTACATTGATATATACAGATTTAGCATTAATTCGCCGCACATAGCTTATGAATAAGAGCCCTTGTAGAGCTCGAAAGTAGTCGAGCGTCCACGAAACAGTTTAGGTGAGAAAACCGTATATTTTTATTTGTTTGATAACTTGATGAGATTCATAAATATATGTCATACATGGCCCGAAATTTAATCAGTAGAGAACAGCTAAGCATAACAAATGTTTTAAACTAAATAATTTAGGGCTGATTTTTCAATAGTCAGATAAATGTCATCTGAGGAATAAAATTGTTGCTGTCACTGTCTTATACAAACATTCTGACGCGACAGCATCATAATTATTCCCCAGGTAACTTTTATCTAACCATTGAAAATCAGCCCTTAACTTTTATCATAAGTTGTTTTATCATGTCACCTCAAAAAGTAGTTTTTTCTGTGTCTCAGCAAGCAAGCAGAGCATATATTTCAAGACAGGACTTTTAAAAGAGTAACGAATGGAGTTTCTGGCTCGTTCTTCTCCATTCGAATCTACAATTTGGAACGAGCACCTAGCTTCACTGACGAACAGACTGACAGACTACTATTCTATTTTGACGTTTCAAAAGTACCTATTTATGGTTTAGTTGGAATAAATGATTTTGATTTGATTTGACTGAAATCACCCAAATAAGTCCAGCCGTTTAGGAGTTTAAGTGAGACTAACAGTTTTTTATATAAAACAATATTAGTTTAACTGTCCTTTACTGATTAAATGTTAAAACTACATAGACAAAGTTATTTAATAGTTTTTTTTCTTCACATATAGTTTGTATTCGCTTGCTTTATTGTCTGTCAAAGAGTAGATAAAATAATGGCCGATATTAATTACCTATCTAATTGTAAATAGCTTACTATTGTCTGTCGGTTTCGTAAATTAACTAAGGGCTGATGTCTCAATAGTCAGATAAATGTTATCTGAGGAATAAATTGTTGCTGTCACTGTCTTATACAAACATTGTGACGCGACAGCATCACAATTATTTCCCAGGTAACTTTTGTCTAACCATTGAAAAATCACTGGAACTAATACTTTCGATTATATTCGCATGTTGAATAGAAAACAGAATTAACTCATAAAAGGGGGTACCTTATTATTGAAACATAATCTGGTAGTTTCCAACTAGTCAAATTCAATACTTTTATCCAAATGTCAAAAACTATACTTTCTATGAAATTTGTATAAAAAACTGAGTAATGACGTCATAGTATTCTTGCGTCAAGCAGATTGATGAATAAAAGTATAGTTATTTTTCAATATTTTATTGTATTAAAACGTCAAATTAATTTATTTTTGACCTAGGAAACTACCCAATTGTTATTTGACAAAATAATAAATACGCCTCTAATATTCAATAGATTTTTAATTTTCATATCCCATTCCATATCCAGCAAGCGTATCTACAAATGAATAGATAATTGAAAATCGAACTTATTGTAATATAAATTGAGTATCAATTCCATTTAGGAACGAAATGTTTAGAAAAACAGAACCTTAATTACTGTCACACTCAGAGTCAATTAATGATTACTTACAACTATTATTTAATAAGGATTTTGTTCTAAAAACAATTATGTTAGGACTTCAGTTCATAAATAAACTATTTTTACTTTTCAATGTAATGAAATACCTTAATTTTTCACAGCAAAAAGTTGTTCTATGACCTATTTATTCATAGGATCATTTGTTTGTACGCGCCAATCTCCGGAACTGCTTGTTCAAATTTAACGAATCTTTGTGTTGATTTTTTTCTCTTTACCCGTTATTTAAGATATTAGTGATATCTATATTTGATTCTTTTTTATATTACATAATCATATTGATTTATTTAGAAAAGTACTATATTCTAACGAATAAATACTCTTTATAAAAAAATAGAGTAAATGCTTATTGTTTTTTTTGTATGGCAACACTGTATTGTTTGCAACGTCAGAATTGATTCTAATACGGTATTTGACAACTAGTCAAATTCAATAATTTTATTGAAATGTAAAAAAACTAAACTTATACGAATTTGGTATAGAAAACGGGCTTGTGACCTACTTTTTTATGTAATAGGTCGGCAAACGAGCAGACGGATTACCTGATGGTAAGCAATCAGCGCTCGTTTGCCGTATCACGCTTCCATCCATTGATTTGACGATAAACTCAATGTTCGTATACACATAAAACGCACAAAACTCACAGACAGCTGTCAATTTTGACATTTCGATAAAAGTATTGAATTTGACTAATAGTCAAAAAGCCAATCCTAGACAGCCGAGGGATTAATAATAATTTTCTTAATTTTATTATTATTAGAGAGACATTACAATATCATAATCCTTGCTTTCTTTAGAGGGGGTATATAGATATATATTATTATGTAGGTACTCACAAAGCATCCAGCCTTAAAATTTACAATACAGACAGAATTACTTACACAATAAAATATACGAAATTCAATGACTGAAAATCGAATCTACGTATGGGGGACTACCGGTTTTTAGCTCACCGAATGTCGCTAAAGTATCAAGAGGTCATTCTCACTCTCAATTATATAGGAAATCTCAAATCATCGGCCTATAAGTGCCCACTGCTGAGCAAAGGCCTCTTCTCAAACGGAGAAGGTTTGAGCGTCAGCCACTACGCTTGCTCAAGGCGGATTGGCGATATCAAACTTATAATTAGAAATTATTTTTCACCGTATGTCAGTGGTGTCTAATCATAGAAAGTACATATAACTCGGAAAAAGTCGCATTGGTTCTTGCCAGGTTTGAACCCCAGGCGGCCATTACGACGAAATGGAATGGAAAGGAACTGGTCTCTTGTAATTTTATTTACATAATTTTGTCGTGACCAAGTGCTGTTGTTTCACTGTAGCTATCAAAAAACGTGAAATGAGACACTAGTTTAAAACTTAAAAGAGAACTATTTGGCCTCCGGTACCTCACTCACACGGCGAAACACAACGCTGTGGTTGTTTCACGCCGGTTTTCTGTGAGGCCGTGGTGTCACTCAAACAAGGCGGTAGAATTTACAAAGAATCAAAGACAACCGCTCTACCTAAGCGACACCTGGTGAGGAAAAATGGTAGCCCCAATTGTAATACCACTTCAAGCTCAACCTAAACGAGTGACAAGCAAACAGACAAAATAATAATAATAATATTATCATAAGTTTAGTAATAATAGTCAATAAATAATAATTTAACATAACAAGTGACTTAATTCATAATAACTAGATTTTTTATCATGTTTTATAGACATTTTTATGTGTATATTAACTTCTGCCTGTCTAGTCTGTGTGTTATTTCAGAATTCAGAGTATAATCTATCTCTGTGCCAAATTACATTCAGATCCATTCAGTAGTGTTTACGTGAGAGAGTAACAAACATCCATTGAACGAAGGTTTGGGCATTAATCACCACGCTTGCTCAAGGCCGGTTAGTGATTTCAAACTTATAATAAGAAATTGTAAGTCGCAGGTTTCCTCACGATGTTTACCTTCACCGTATGTCAGTGGTGTCTAAATAATCATAGAAAGTACATATAACTCGGAAAAGTCACATTGGTACTTGCCAGGTTTCGAACCTTGTGTACCTTTATGTTAATATAATGATTAAGATTGGCTTTTTTGGATCAGTGCTATGATAGGGTTTATTCCCTCAAAAAGTAAAGTTATGTAAGTTTTTTTTATGTAATAGGTCGGCAAACGAGCAGACGGATTACCTGATGGTAAGCAATCAGCGCCGCCCATGGACACTCGCAACGTAGGAGTTACGAGTGCGTTGCCGACCTTTTAGGGATTATTATTTGGAGATTTAGAGATTGAGGAGGGATTGGGTGTATCATATCATGGAGGTATATCATATATCATTTGGCATGGTGGACCATGACTATATACTTTTCCCCAACTCAGATATCAAACCTGCTACAACTTATTAGGCATTGGCAATCAAAATCACTTCACTAACAAAATATTCCATTACACAAAATGCAAAACAGGATATACACATAAAAATGTACATAAACATACTTAGGATAATATACTTAGCGCTAATTTTTCAATAGCCAGATAAATGTTATCTGAGGAATAAAATTGTTGCTGTCACTGTCTTATACAAACATTCTGACGCGACAGCATCATAATTAATCCCCAGTCAACGTTTATCTAACCATTGAAAAACCAGCCTTTAATGACAAAAACTTAAAAAATATATTTCACAATTATCATTATCATTATTACAATACAATACAAGAGTTGTTTCGATATTTATAATATAATTTAATAACAAAATTACATGGCTACTGTGATGGGGTACTGTCCATTGACCATCGCCACTCTTCCCCCGGGCAGGAGATACCCGACTAAGATAAAATACTTTTCAAAGACAATTTAGTCAACTATTCATAGAAGAGACGTTCTTTTTTTTACGACGGACCACCTGACGGTAAGCTGTCGGCGCCACCAATGGATATCAGTAAAACCAGAGGAGTATTTAAAAGGGAATAATATCATCGAATGACTTCGCTCATCCTTGGCGAGAGACATCTTACTGACTAAAAACCGCCCTGGGGACATTATTAAGCTTGTACCCGCAAATCTAATAACTTTAAGGGAAAGACAATATCCTAAATTCTCATCTATACTAATATTATAAAGAGGTAAAATTTGTAAGTTTGTATGTAGGGGGTAATTTTTGGAGCCGCTGGTCGGATTGCCAAAATTCTTTCACTGATAGATAGCTACAATGTTCCTTTGCTAAAGGCTATAAAACATCACGCTACGATCAATGGAGCCGAGCAGCGGGTGAAACCGCGCGAGACTAGCTAGTCTAGAATATTGTGTAACCCCATCACAGTTTTAGTAAAAAAAAACATTAATTAATAATAATAATAAATACTTATTGGCTGTCTGAGATTCGTTTATCCGCTGTTCGGATGTGATTTCTGCTCGAAAATGGCCGTCATGTCCCGAATATTGTACGTCGGTGACGACTTCTCTTTTCTGAAAAACAAAGTTATATAAAAAATTATCTATACTAATATTATAAAAAGGGGAGCTGTCCACTTTTTGTATGGACGTGGGTTTTATAAATCCAACCAGCATCAAATTCTCACAAGTGAATAGTAAAGTAAAATCCAATATCTTTATGATGCGAGGTAAGAGCTAGCCTAGTTTAACAGGCTAATAAAGGCCAGTAGTAATAGTAAAAAATGCGTTTCTGATAACAGTCGGAAACCATTATCGACCATGCAGTTTTAAGAATAACATGGTATTATATTAAAGTAAAGTATTTAACTCTCCAACTAAAGTTTGGAATAGAAAACTAGTAATTACCTACCAAAATGAAATATATATTTTACAGGTGGTCCCGGTATAGGACTAATTAATACATTGCTACGCTAAAATTTTGTGTTATTGTTAAATTTTAAAGCCAATTCTCACAAAAAAAAACGACAAAATACAACAACTTTTACAAAAATGTATATATATATAGATAGGTTTGGAAGATATTTTTAATTCTCTATTTCATTTCAGTGGTAATAGATATTTACTTCGTTTTGTATAACGATGTCAAAATTGGAATTGGCTACTTCATTAGGTTGAAACACGGGTTGAAAACAATTAAGGGTTGTTAGTTAGTAGGTAGTAGTTACTTGGGGAATAATTATGATGCTGTCGCGTTACAATGTTTGTATAAGACAGTGACAGCAACAATTTTATTCCTCAGATAACATTTATCTGACTATTGAAAAATCTGCTCTTATTAAACCCTTTTCTCAGATTACATAATCGAAAATAAACACAGTTCTAACAAATATTATAAGAATATAATATAGAATCTCAACAAAGAAGTCTTTATTTCAGACCAGATATCCATACAATATTTGTAATTTCTTACCCTAATGTAAGGTAGAAAACATTAATTAATATTTATCAATTATTGACATGCACATGTCTGCTAGCCCAGTGTCTAATAAACAGCCATTAAATTTTGTCTGCCATTAAACCTAGTATTTAAAAATATCTTCCAAATAACATTTTTGAATACACTTACCTGTCAAATTGATGTCTGTCATCTCTTTCGCTCGTGAATTCTGTCTCATTTTCAGGGCTTGTGGGCGAAGGTATGGACTCCAAATTAGTACTACTTTTAGCTAAACTAAACCTTAATCGTTGACCTAGATCAACTGTATTCCTCCTTTCGAACTTGGGTACTTCATCGCTTAATCTTTCACAAGTTTCAATTTTATCCTCTTTATCTTTCCTAATTTTAATTCTAGTCAACTGTTCTGGATTCGAACGGAAGGATTGCGAACTGTATTTTTCTCTGAGGAAATTCCTTCTTTCCTCTTTATATTTCTCTATCCGTTCTCTGCTCAATTTTTTATCACATTCGAAGCTTATAATATTTTTTACGTCTGGTCGATCGAAGCGTTGTATTAACGAGATCTTGTTTTCAGTTGTGGGCGTTATCACGACCTTGTGTTCGGGTTCCGTGTTCAAATTTAAATCTGGAACCTTTTTCGAAGTCTTCACTTCGAGACTTTTCCGTCTATCGTTTGATTGGTCGTTGCCAAATTCCTTTACGAACGCATTCTCGTCTAGGGACCTGGCGTTACAAGAATTCTTGGATAGTTTGTAAGATTTCGGCGACACAGTGGGCGTTTTGAAATCAATCTTTTTAATTTCGATAACTTTCTTATCATCTTTGCGTTCCAAGCTTGGATATTTGATTTCAGCTTTGAACTTTTCGAATGTGAACGCTGATTTTTGTTCAGTTGGACTTTCGAAGCGTATGGCTAATTCTCTAACGTTCATTGTTTTGAAATTGCCGTTTTCTACAGGTTTTGTGTTATCAACATCAGCCATATCTTTATCACATATTTTTAGTGTATCGACGTTTATATTTTCATAATCATTTTGTGTTTCGAAGGCTATGTTTTCGTAATGTCTGTCTTCAGGTAGGAGCATAGCATTGACTTCCTCAATACTCTTTTTAAAGAACTTTACTTGGCTATAGACGTCAATATCTTCATCTAGATTAGTTTCTGTTGGAGTTTCTAGGATGATAAGGTCCTGCATATCGTTAGGTTGACAAGCCTGTTGGGTGGGTAAGCACGCATCTGTTTGCGGAACGCTAGCGTCTTCAACTATCGACAGATTCTTTTCTAGATCAATATCTTCGTAAACCGAATCCCTATCATTGGTAGGTGTGTCTTCGAAGTTTTTACTCTTGGTTGGAGATCGGAATGTTATACTAATGGTGGATTTTAATGGACTTTTTAAAGGACTGCCTGGTGAGCTTTTACTTGTGCTAGAGGATTGCAGATTGATATAATTAGGTCTTGAATAGTTATAGCATTCGTATAAATCGTCGCCTTTCGTCAAACTGACGTTGGAATAACTGGAAGAGCTTTCGTGTGATGACGTCATTACCCTCATGACGTCACTTTCATCTTTCTTCTTGTCCGTATGATCTGAATTGGAGGAGTTAGACACAGCGGATAATCTATTCAAGTTATGATAACTTATGTCTGTCGAGTGTGGACTGTGTTCTAGACTATCATGTAGATTATCGATTGCGCTTTCAAAGTCGGTGGCTTTGAGTTCGCATTTTAAGCATTTATCTTGTTGACACGAGTCACAGATTTCACTTTTGATTTGTATCGTGTGTTTCTTTGCTTCGCTGACTTCCGAATCGCTTTCTAGAGGGTCGTAGATGGGAGTTATAGGGGTGAGAGGGCTAGAGTTCAGAGTGCTCGTTGTGAGATTACTGACAGAGTTCTCTGCTGGCCAGTCGATTTTAATCAGTGTGGAATGACCGTCTTTGCTATAGCTAGTATGACCATCTTTGCCGTGCCAACTAAGTCTGTTCGTCTGTTTGTCTGTATCGAAATGCATACCGCTGTACCTCGCTTTCGATTTTCTCGGCGAATTCCTCTCTCTGTAAATATTAGATGTAAGTGTAAGCGGAAATTTAGATTGTTACAACATCGATTTTGTGTTATTCTGTTGTTTTATATCAAGTTCCCGTTGTGTTGGATTTGTTTTGAATTTAATTGTTATGTTTCGTGTTTTTATTTGATACTAGCCTTTATCCGAGCTTTCGTTGCCCTCATTTGACTACCTACCATACCCTACCTTCCCTACCCTACCTACTGTCACTGAATTTTATTTTGAGTTAAACAACAAGATACCATATTCTATTAATGAAGGAATTTTACCAATATTTTTATATGAAAAAAAAAAGAATCTGTCACTGATCAAAATTCAATTTTTTTTTTTTTTTTTTTTAAAACATTGCCCCACATTAGGATTTTCTCCTGTGTCGTGGGCGCGGTTACAAACATACAATTTCACATACACATGACACCCAGACCCGGAACAACAATTTGTGGATCACACAAAGAGTTGTTCCGTGCGGGAATCGAACCCGCGACACGTTGCACGGCAGCCAGTTGCCCAGCCACCGCACCAACCGTGCAGTCTTCAATATTCTTATTGAAATGTCAAAAACGATTTTTTTTCTATGAATTTTGTCGTTATATTAATCGCAAAATATGATGTCAATATGTTTTAACGTCAAATAGTTATTATATACGTTATTCTATTCTATTTATATACCATACGTTATTTTAGAAAAATATGCTAGAAAAAAGTATGGAAATACATTTTAATAATTCAAAAATAATTTTATTACTTTCGTCCTAAGTAACTCAAATTTTGAATAATTGAGACTAAACATCTACTTTCACTATAACTTAACTATTCTACCGACAAATACAGTACCTACTGTTAAAATCCTAAGTAAATACTACAAAAGATGTATATACAACGTAACAAATCCAATACAACGCAAACTAGATCTAATTGAATTAAATGAATAAGGTACAAAATTGCAAACACATTGTTATGAGTATTACAACAATTATAACATTATACAGATATGTATTCTCAAAGAGCCAATAGACCACCACAGACGGGACCCTATAGGGCTGATGTTCAGCCGGGGTTGCGGGGTAAGCGCAATGTGGCACCGCGACCTCGGCACAGAGCAGGAGAAGGAACGGGGGGGGGGGTTTAGTCAGTAACAGTCTGACACTCTCTCGCCTTACCCTGGATGGGAAGTCATTTGATGATTTTCCACTGACTTTTTTGAGAGGGGAAAATCATCATATAACTACTTTTTCCGCTCTGCGTGGGAGTGTCAGACTCTTACTGACTAAAAACCCCGCCGTTCTTTCTCCTGCTCTGGGCCGAGGCCGCGGTACCTTATAGCGCTTGTCCCAGAAAACGGGTCAACTCATATCGGTCTAATGTTATAATGATTTTGGTAAATATATGTAAGTAGTATAGAGGAAATATGTAAATAGGTAATACATGTAAATATATTAGATATAAGAATTATATTTAGTTCCATGTGTCTGTATGTCATTGGAAGAAAAAAATAAAGCTTATAAGTATTATAATAGAGCACTCACTATTCACAAGTGTATTTATTATTTTGGATAGGGTCGCAGGCGGATTACCTCATGGTAAGCAATCAGCGGCGTCTATAGACACCCGTAATACGGTAGTTTCCAACTAGTCAAATTCAATACTTTTATCCAAATGTCAAAAACGATACTTTTCTATGAAAATTGTATGAAACATTGAATTATGACGTCATAGCATTTTTGCGTCAAATAGTTTACTTATTTTTAAAAAAATAGCTAAAAAATATCTAAAGTGTGTATCGATCGATCGATGAATAAAAGTATAGTTATTTTTCAATATTTTATCGTATTAAAACGTCGAATTAATTTATTTTTGACCTAGGAAACTACCCAATTGTAAAGGAGTTATAATACGAAATTAACTTACCAAATTATTGAACAAACAGACACATAGTTAAATACATGTTATTTTTTGTAGCTAAATAACAAACTATACATAGTTTTATATTGAAATGGTACTCAATTTCGACATTTTTTTCTTAGAATAGTCTATATAGGAAAGGCTGGGTTTATCTACATAAATTGTTTTTTATATGATGGTATTTACAAGAATAAATTCATTGTTTTATTGCTATTAAGAGCTCTGTTTATGTAACATTGAGTAGAATCAAATTCTTATACCAAAATGTTACAATAACTGTTTTTTGAAGAGGCAAATCATTGGCTTCTCCCGCTCAGGGTGAGGCGAGAGGGAGTGTCATAATCTTCTGACTAAAAAACCACCTTTTTTATGTAATAGGTCGGCAAACGAGCAGACGGATTACTTGATACATGGACACTCGCAACGGAGGAGTTACGAGTGCGTTGCCGACCTTTTAGGGATTAGGGATTTAGGGATTGAGGAGGGATTGGAGGACGGGAAGGATTGGGTCTCCGGTAACGTGACTCAAACGGAACTCAAACTTAAACACAACGCAGTGGTTATTTCACGCCGGTGTTCTGTGAGGCCGTGGTATCACTCCGGTCGAGCCGAACCATTCGTGCCGAACCATGGCACTCCCACACTTGTTCCTTCTTCTGCTTTATACCGGGATCGCAGTAGGTATATCAACAATAATATTTTAAAATAAGTTATTAGTCCAACCAATAGAAAGAACATCTTCCAAAACCTTTTACGGCTTTGACCTTATTTTGACGATTTAAACCTTAAAACAGAGAAAACACAATACAATTTCCTTATATAGGTACTAGCAAAACCGGGCGAACGCCGTTTAGCCAGATGTATTTCAAAAAGTTGGTGCTGTATGTAAAAAAAGAAATTCCCGCTTTTCTGTTAAAAAGTTTCCTGAATTTTCTTTGCTATAAACTTCACGGAACCCGAGACCTGTGCAACGAATGCAAAACCGTGGAATTCCGCGTTAAAGCGTCAATGAAGAAAACCCGACTTATTTTTATATAGTAGAAAAGAAATTGAGTACCATTTCAGTTAAAAGTTATAATATACATTAATATCATATTTACAAAACATGTATAAGAAACAGTATTTACCTAAGTTTAACATTAGCCAGGGAAGTTGGGAAGTCTGTGAGCGATGCCATCGGACTGTCCCGGTCTTTGCATAGTCTGAAAACAAAGTTATTATTAAAGTGTCGGCACGAATGGGTCGGCTCGACCGGAGTGATACCACGGCCTCACAGAAAATCGGCGTGAAACAACAACAGCGTTGTATTTCGCCGTGTGAGTGAGGTCACCGGAGGCCCAATCCTTCCCCTCCCCCAATCCCTAAATCTCCAAATCCCTAATCCCCAAAAGGTCGACAACGCACTCGTAACTCCGTCGTTGCGGGTGTCCATGGGCGGCGTTAATTGCTTACCATCAGGTAAACAATTAACCGTTTGCTCGTTTGCCGACCTGTCACATAACATGCACACACTAGGATTTTCTCCTGTGTCGTGGATGCGTTTACAAACATACAATTCCACATGCACATCACACCAATACCCAGAACAACAATTTTGGGGTCACACAAAGAGTTGTTCCGTGCGGGAATCGAAACCACGACACGATGAACGGCAGCCAATCGCCCAGCCACAGGGCCAACCGTGCACTCAACTTCAAGATTGATTCTCGGATCGGGTAAAATAACTAACTGCATATAAACAACTAATATTTTTCGATATCAGTTTGTACATATATATGTCGGAGTGTCGATTATTTGAATTGAATTTTGAAGGAGGTTTTATCACAATTCATCGGACGAGGGTACCATAAATCGTACTCTGGCGGAACGTCAAACTGGCAGTTCTGCGTGCGCATTATGGTGGAGAGCGAGCGCTGTGACTGTCATCTGAGACGGATCGCCGACGTCCGTTATTTTTGTAATTTATTCGGTCTGATCATAAAATCCTACGCCCTACAATGGACTGTGAAGACGATGATCAGGATGTTGATGTTTGTACCAACCCCCCGGTGCCTTCATATATATATACGTACCTCTTGGCGATGTCGGTGTGTGTGGGCGAGGCAGGTCGCGCCGAGTGTCGCTTCTCAGGCGCGGGCCGAGCGCGGGGCGACTCCCCGTCTATGTAGCCTATCTGGGACAGTTGCTCCTCCAGGGCCACGCGACGCCTAAAGGGGGAAGGGGGGAGATTAAAAATGAGATATTTTAATCCTTTGACTGCTTGACTGAAACCTATTGAAGGCAAATCCTTAAGTTTCACGTCTGGAAGGTCCATGTTTTGTCACGAATCGACATCACGGCCTCATTGAAAACCGGCGTGAAACAACATGTGTGAGAGATTACCGTAACTCTTCTAGAGTTCTGGATGTCCATGGGCGGCGCCAATTGCTTACCATCAGGTAATCCGCATGCTAGTTAGCCTCCTAATCACATAACAAATAAGTTAATTCGTTTATTTTTTTAACTTCGTTTGTCGAAATTCGAGAAGGACACGCATCTAATAATGTCATGTATATTTTTCGAAGCCGCCAGTCTACTTGCGTTTATAATATAATCATGATTTCTAAAGTTTTAAATTAATATCCAAATCATTAATAACTATGGTCAATTTGAAAGTAATTTGAGAATGCCTAATTGTTTGCAGTAGATATCTTATAACCGATATTTTATAAATGATGGAAGTTTTAAGTGGAAAATGCTTTACTAAAATTCTCTAATAAATATATAAAAAAAATAAAACTAACAAAATCCACAAGAATCCACTTCTCATGACATTATAACTCTGTAAACTCTTCGATTATAAATCCACGATTAGGTTGGACAGATTGACGTGCCATTTCGTTTTGAAAATACATCTGCAAATATACTAAAGAAGTTACTATGTACCTATGTTTTTCTATTTGTTTTCCTATTTACATTACGTGTGATGTGCATATAATTATATAGCGTTGTGTTTCGCCGTGTGAGTGACGTTACCGGAGGCTTAATCCTTCCCCTCCCCGGACCCTTCCCCAATCCCTAAATATCTAAATCCCTAATCCCTAAAAGGTCGGCAACGCACTCGTAACTCCGTTGCGGGTGTTTATGGGCGGCGCTGATTGCTTACCATCAGGTAATCCGTTTGCTTGTTTGCGATATGACACCGAAAAAAGAGCCTTATAGTGAGGCCAGAAGTAAAGGAAGGAAAAAAAGAAAAAAGGTATGTATGTATGTAAGTATGAGAATAGGTACCGCTCGGCGAGGTCGCTAGCATTCTGGATGTCGACGCGCAGGTTGCGGCGGGGACTGTTCTCCGCGCTACACAGCCCAGACTCTGGAGGCGACGAGCACTGAGAGTCCTGGGGAACACAAAAGTCCAAAATCATTTTTTTCAATTAGATCCTTCCAGGCACTTTTGAACGTCAAACAATTTTTTTAAGATATAGTGTCAGTCTGTCTGTCAGTCCTCTTAGTCTTACACCCGGTTTCCGTAAGGCCGATCAATGTTAAAATCAATTTAATCTCTTGTCAAGTCATCTGATTGGTTGACTGAATTATCAACAACCAATCAGATGACTTGACAAGAGATTTAACAGGAGATTAGTTAATTTTAATGTTGACAAGCCTTTCAGAAACCGGATGATAGTGTCAGTCTGTCGGTCAGCCCTCTTAGTGTTAATTTTATATCTAAAATCACTCGTTATAATCGTATCAATATTTCTTACTCATCCATCTCCACTTTCATATTAATCAACACTACACTCAAAATCAAGGTCAGAACCATTTAGGGCTGATTTACAAATAGTCAGATAAATGTTATCTGAGGAATAAAATTGTTGCTGTCACTGTCTTATACAAACATTGTGACGCGACAGCATCATAATTATTCCCCAGGTAACTTTTATCTAACCATTTAAAAATCAGTCCTTAATCCAACTAAACCATAAACAGGTACTGTTTGAAACTTCAGAAGAGAATAATAGTCCGTCAGTCTGTTCGAATTAGATTATAATACTGGTTTAAGACATACAAGCAATATAAATAAAAATAACTTTACCACCAAAAAGTACAACAAAAATCATCATTATCTTAAAATCAATCATTTTAATTAACGAATCAAATTTTATTACTCTTACTTTCACTTTAACAATAATCAACACTGCACTACAATATTAAACACCAGTCTATTTACCTACAATAATAATCACCAATATATTTACCATCAAAAACGAGCAACTATATTAATCCCCACTCTACTTACAACAATAATTTCACTACTACGACTACTACTAATAGAAAAATCCCCAGCCCACTTACAATCATAACTGCACTACAATATTAATCACCACTCTACTTATAACCACTACAGCACTTTCCAAACTACATACCTGTGCATGGTTTATCTGTAGCTGAGTATCGTCCTCCTCGCTAAACATGTGATGGTCTCTCTCCTGAGGGGACAGACGGAGTCGCATGTCCGCTAGCTCCGCTTGCCACGGCTCGAAGTAAGAGTCGCATGATGATGACCTGGTGATTAAGATAAAAAAATATGGTTATTAACGAAAACAAAACTGAAATTTACACGGCTATCTCGGAGACGGCTGAAACAATTTCAATGGGATTTTGAAGCAATTGAGTTTTGTATCATGCTTTTATCTAGATTATAAAGAAATAAAATTTGTAAGTTCTATTTAGGGGGGTAATCTTTGCAACCGCTGGTCGGATTGCCAAAATTATTTCACTGATAGATAGATACAATGTTCCTGAGTGCTATAGGCTATAAAACATCACGCTACAATCTATAGGAGCCGAGTAGCGGGTGAAACCGCACGGCAGTAGCTAGTTGGTAACAAAATTGAAGGGTGTAAGTCGAAATTATTTATTCCAACTAAACCATAAATAGGTACTTTTGAAACGTCAAAATAGAATACTAGTCTGTCAGTCTGTTCGTCAGTGAAGCTAGGTGCTCGTTCCAAATACGGTAGTTTCTAACTAGTCAAATTAAATACTTTTATCCAAACTTCAAAAACGATACTTTTCTATGAATTTTGTATAAAAAACTGAGTTATGACGTCATAACATTTTTGCGTCAAATAGCTTACTTATTTCTTAATAAATTGCTAAAAAACTAAAACTTAGTGTATCGATCGATCGATGAATAACAGTATAGTTATTTTTCAATATTTTATTGTACTCAAACGTCGAATTAATTTATTTTTGACCCTGACACTACCCAATTGTAGATTCGAATGAAGAAGAACGAGCAAGAAACTCCATCGTTACTCTTTTAAAAAATAATACTGATAAGAAAAGGATATTTCCTTTATCTATCCTATCTGCTTATTTAAAATTTTAAATACTTCATAATGTTACCTGGTATGATGTTTTAGTGGCGCAGCGGCCCTGTCTGCTAACGGCGCCAAGGTGTCAGTGTCCGAGGCCAGAGACTCGCACGATTTGACGGGGCGAAGCCCTAGCGCAGACTGGCACATTGGTATGTCCTGAAAACAATAGTAAAGTTATTAATATTAATTTATTTTTTTAAATGTTGCCTCACACTAGACTTTTTTTCTATGTCGAGTCGTTTTTTATGGCAAACGAGCAGACGGATTACCTGATGGTAAGCAATCGGCGCCGCTCATGGACACTCGCAACACAGGGGAGACGAGTGCGTTGCCGGCCTTTAGGGGATAAGGGTTTCGGATATTTAAGGATTGGAAACAGATGGGGACAGGGGGGGGAGATTGGGCTTCTGGTAACATCAGCATATGGCCATCCCCATCATCCGATAGGATTTTGGGGTTTAGAAGATTTAGCGATTGGGGAGATTTCCAGACAAGTTTGAGAACTGCTATCTTATGATTTACCTGTGGAGGTGAGGGTACGGGCGGGGCCCGGGGCGCTGGGCGAGGCCGGGTCTTAGACCGGACGAACAGCCCGCGCCAACCTGACGGGGACCGCTTCAAGCCGCGCTTACCTAAAACAAGTACAATATACTTATTAAACACTAGCGGCCCGCCCCCGCTTCGCACGGGTTCAACTATATCGCTATCAAAGGGTCACTTTTTCCTAATCTTCCCCTCTACTTTTCTAATATTTCCTTTGATAAGAACCTTCTCCTGACAATAACAAACAAAACAAAAAAATAATTAGCAAAATTGGTCCAGGCGTTGTTGAGTTATGCGCTTACCAACACATTTTGCGATCCATTTTTATATATATAAGAAGATAGATAAAAAGTAAAACTACTTACCGGGCGCCGGTAGATCTAAGACGGTGTGGTACTGCGGCAAGTTGTTCGGTCCCGACCCGACCTGAAGTAAAACAGCTATATTTTATACAATTTATTAATACAAAATGACAAAAATTTGGTTCAAAAGGCGGACTTAATGCCATATGGCATTTTCTACTAGTTCAGACCTTTAGGTCAAGTAGAGAAATCAGCGATAAATAGGATATTTTACTTACGACTGATATTAAAATCAATGTTCAGGAAATTTTTTACATCAGTCACATTTATCTATACTAATATTATAAAGAGGTAAAATTTTTAAGTTTGTATGTAGGGGGTAATCTTTGGAACCGCTGGTCGGATTGCCAAAATTCTTTCACTGATAGATAGCTACAATGTTCCTGAGTGCTATAGGCTATAAAACATCACGCTACGGCCAAATGGAGCCGAGCAGCGGGTGAAACCGTGAGAGAGTAGCTAGTATTGTATAAAGTAAGTAAATACTAAGTTTTACATCAATAGATTTTTTTTAATAACGTTGCTCCACATTATTATTTTCTTCTGTGTCGTGGGTGCGTTAACAAACATACAATTTCACATACACATCACACCCAGACCCGGAACAACAATTTGTGGATCACACAATTAGACAAGATTTGTCCCGTGCGGGAATCGAACCCGCGACACGTTGCGCGGCAGCCAGTTGCCCAGTGACCGCATCAACCGTGCAGTCAACTTACGAAAATAAACGTGAAAATGTCATAATGCAAAAAAGTGATAAAATATGATTGGGTGATTATCAAACGAGAAAGCGTGATTTTCAGTAAGAGTGAGTAGGTGATTGATTAAGTAAGAGTGAGTAAGAGTAAGTGAGTGTGAGTGAGTTAAATTGTGTAAGTGAGCATTTTATATGCGAACTAGCTATTCTTGCGCGGGTTCACCCGTTGCTCGGGTTCACCCGTTGCTCGGCTCCATTTAATCGTAGCGTGATGTTTTCTAGCTTATAGCATTCAGGAATATTGTAGTTGTCTATCAGTAAAATAATTTTCGCAATTCAGCCAGCGGTTCCAAATATTACCCCCTACATACAAACTTACAAATTTTATTTATTTATTTATTTAAATAGGTTAGCCAACAATTATTACACTTTTTCATTAACTCTTAATAAAAGATAAAACACATTTACCTCTTTATAATATTATTAGTATTAGTATTAGTAAATTTATAGATAATATTAGTTAGTGAAAGTGAGTAGGTATGAATGAGTGAGTGTGAGTGAGTATAAGAGTGTTGCGCAGTATCAGTATATGTGTGGAGGTACCTCGATGTAGTTGGGGCGTAGATGCGCGGAGGGCCGCAGCTGGGCGGAGGCGGCGGCCGCGATGGCGCCCGACGCAGGCAGACGCGGGCTGCGCCCCGCGCCCCCGCCGCTGCCGGCCTGCCCGCGACGCCGGGCTTCCTCCAGGCTGCGGGGACAGGAAGATTTATTAAACTGTCTAACTCATTACAACAAATTGTTAACATAATTTAAACACCTTTTTTGTCCGGGGAAAATCATCTAATGACTTCTCCCGCCCAGAGTAAAGCAAGAGAGACAGTGTCAGACTTTTACTGACTAAAACTCCCCTCCCGTTCCTTCTCCTGCTCTGGGCCGAGGTCGCGGTGCCTCATTGCGCTTATGCCGCAACCCCGATTATTATTATAATTATATATTACTTCTTATAAAACAACCCCTTACTCCCGTATAACAAAACAAGACTTATCATTACTCTAGATTCACACCATTAAGTCAGATTTTCTATTTTGAAACTTATTCTCACCTAACTTAAATTTGAAATACAATAACTGCCTCAATGGTTTAGACCTAGAATAAAGAAATACCTTATATTGTAATAAGGCCGTTATTGTTTCATTAACTTACCTCAATAATTTGGTGGGTGGGTTGATCGGTAAGCTTTTAGGACGTCGACATGAGTCTGTGCCGCGCAGTTCAATTTCAGACTCGCACCGTTCCTGAAAATAATTAAAGAAATATCTGTATGATGAAAGAAATAAAAATCAAAACCATACATAATCAACCAATATATGTGAGAGAGCCAAGCTTCTGCACGAATGGGTCGGCTCGATCGGAGTGGCCTCATAAAAAACCACAGCGTTGTGTTTCGCCGTGTGAGTGAGGTTACCGGAGGCCCAATCCAAACCCCTCCCCCCATCGTTGCCCAATCCCTAAATACCCGAAACCCATATCCCTAAGCGGCCGAGAACACACTCGTAACTGCTTTGGTGCTGCGGGTGACCATGGGCGGCGCTGATTGCTTACCATCAGGTAATCCGTATGCTCGTTTGCAGACTTATAGCATAAAAAAATTAGTAATACCAAAGGAGTTAGTTGCGTAGCCGGCCTCTTGTGGAATATTGGGGGTGTCAGGATAGGTGATTTGAGGAATGATGATGGGGGTAAAAGGGTTGACCATATACATATTATTATGTTATAGTATAAATAAATCCATACCTGTTCTAAAGACTCGGGTCCAGAATCCTCTCCCTGTTCCTGAGCGAACAGCTCCTCGGCGTAACAGATCAGGAACTCCGTCACCACCGCCTTAAGATACAAGAAATATGCGTTTTACGTTAAAATCTATACTAATATTATAAAGAGGTAAAATTTGTAAGTTTGTATGTAGGGGTAATCTTTGGAACCGCTGTTTAGAATCCCACAATTCTTTCACTGATAGATAGGTACAACGTTCCTGAGTGCTATAGGCTATAAAACATTACGCTACGATCAAATGGAGCTGAGTAGCGGGTGAAACCACGCGAGAGTAGCTAGTAAATTATGTAGTAGATTTACGGACGAAATAATTACAAATCACAATCTGAATAAATTTTTTCATGCTATTTTTATTTAAGCGTTTCTATGCCGGATAAGACAACCCCATGGTTCCCTTTAAAAAATACTTACATTACGTACAAATTCAAACACATCACATACAAATCACACACAATCTCTATCAAATCTAGTCACAAGAGAGTGACAGTTTAAAAAAAAACATTGCCCCACACTAGGATTTTCTCCTGTGTCGTGGGTGCGTTTACAAACATACTATGTCACATACACATCACACCCAGAACCGGAACAACAATTTGTGGATCACACAAAGAGTTGTTCCGTGCGGGAATCAAACTCGCGACACGTTGTACGGCAGCCAGTTGCCGAGCATTTTCGTCGTTACTCGTATTTACCTGTACGGCGACGCCCTGCAGTGCGTGTTGGGGTCGAGGAGCCCGGAGGAGGTTGGGGGCCCACACGATGGCCATGTTGCGGGCCGTCATACCAGTCTGATCGCCCAGTAGGGATACTCGGCGTAAGTGACGCATCAGGTACGCTAGGGTCCTAAAGGATACGGAGAATATAGTTGTTATAAACATTATATATTTCCTACTTACAATTCGTAGGGTAAATTTTTACTTTTTTTTATGTAATAGGTTGGCAAATGAGCAGACGGATTACCTGATGGTAAGCAATCAGCGCCGCCCATGGACACCCGCAACGGAGTAGTTACGAGTGCGTTGCCGACCTTTTAGGGATTAGGGATTTGTAGGTTTAGGGATTGAGGAGGGATTGGGGGCGGGGAAGGATTGGGCATCCGGTAACCTCACTCACACGACGAAACACAACGCTGTGGTTGTTTCACGCCGGTGTTCTGTGAGGCCGTGGTATCACTCCGGTCGAGCCGACCCATTCGTGCCGAAGCATGGCTCTCCCACACTTACTACTACAAAAGAGGTGTGGAAATTGGGTAGTTTCCTAGGTCATAAAGGATATATATTATACGGTCGAATTGAAAACCACCCTCCTTTTTGGAAGTCGGTTACTTATAAAAATAATTTATTTTGACTTATATTGATTATTCACTAATATCATTTTTAGAATGAATTATTAAAATATGTAATTATAAAAAATATAATGTAATTATAATCTAATTAATAATATAATGTAATCATGAAATATGTAATTTTATATTTTTTTCTACTTAACTTTTTAAGAAATAAGTAAGATATTTGATTTAAAAATACTATGACATCATCTCAGTGTTTCATATAAATTTCATAGAAAAGAATCGTTGTTGACATTTGAATAAAAATATTGAATTTGATTAGTTAGAAACTACCGTACTATGATTATAAATAATCATCATAATTTCCTGCGTACAACTAAAAGGAAGAATTTCTACAGAAGACGCGAACAAATTGTTTTAGCATATACTTATCCCCTAGCTTTACTTGCCCACATTTACATATAGAAATATGTAAATGTCGGCAAGTAAAGCTTCGGTTCGAATAGGTCGGCTCAACCGGAGTAATACCACGGACTCACAAAAAATCGAACCATACCTAAAAATCGAAAAATCGAACGAATAACCTGATGGTTATGTCGAACCCATGTTATGTTAAGTGTGGGAGAGCCATGCTTCGGCACGAATGGGTCGGCTCGACCGGAGTGATACCACGGCCTCACAGAAAACCGGCGTCAAACAATCAAAGCGTTGTGTTTCGCCGTGTCAGTGAGATTACCCAATCCCTAAATCTTAAAAATCCCCATTCCTAATAGGCCAGCAATGTACTCGTAGATAGTCTAGTTCAATTTTAATAAAGTTAAAGTTATTTTTAAGATATTAAAACAGAGCTTCCTTTCTCCTGTTGCCTTATTTTGCTGTGCCTTAAAGGGTCCATTATTGATCTCACACAAATTGTTACCACCTTTATGTATACTTACGGTAAAGGAATAAAGATATTTTTTTTTATCATCAAATGACTTCTCTCGGTAAGGTGAGAGAGAGTATCAGATTCTGAGACTACTGACTCCCCCCTCCCCCATGTAAGGCCGAGGTCGCGGTGCCTCATTGCGCTTACCCCGCAACCCCGGCTGAACATCAGCTCTATAGGGCCCCGTCTGTGGTGGTCTATTGGCTTTTTGAGGCGCGCGCGGAACGCTACGCGCCGTACGCTCGGGTCTGGTTCTGGTCGGGCGGCGAGCTACCCTTACTAACTTTTAAACTTTCGCGTTTCATCTTAACAACATTATATTTACGCGGGTATTAACGCGGATTCATCACCCGAATGCAGTGAGCTGTGACATTGCGTCTTCAGTCTGCTTGTGACCACGACCTGTGCAACCGGGTCGAAACGTCAAGCCTACCAAGGTATTCAAATTATAATTTTCCGCGTTAATACCAGCGTAAATATAGAGCTACCCTAACTCGCCGACCGCAGACCCGAAGCAATAAAGATATTGACCATGTCCTGACCTGTAGTGCGGGGGCGGCAACTTGACGACGGTGTCCCTGACGGCGCGGAGTCTCGCGGCCTCGTCCCCCGCCTGCACGGCGCTCACGAAGCTCTCGTACAGCTGGTACGTGCATAGCGGGTTCGGGAGCTCACTGACAACCACATACACTTTCTATTATAATTGAGTAGTTTCCTACGTCAAAAATAAATTAATTCGACGTTTCAATACAATAAAATATCGAAAAATAACTATACTTTTATTCATCGATCGATCGGTACACTCAATTTAGATATTTTTAGGGTAATTTTTAACAAATAAGCTATTTGACGCAAAAATACTATGACGTCATAACTCAGTTTGTCATACAAATTTCATAAAAAAATATCGTTTTTGATATTTGGATAAAAGTATTGAATTTGTCTAGTTGGAAACTACCGTATTACGAATTGTGAAATTTATGTGTTGTATGGGCTTCCAGATAGGTGGACTGACGACATTCAAAAAGACAAGAAGTAATTACAACAAGTTATATTAAAAAATTCATTACAATTATACAATATAACAATGAAAAGTTTTTTTAAAAAAAGACCTATGATACCTAGATACCCTACACTAGCATTTTCTCCTGTGTCGTGGGTGCGGTTACAAACATATAATTTCACATCCACATCACACCCAGACCCGGAACAACAATGTGGGTCACACAAAGAGTTGTTCCGAGCGGGAATGGAACCCGCGACACGTTGCACTAACCGTGCAGTCAAAAGTAACATTATTTTATATATATATATATAGACGTGTGCATTAAAGTATAAATAAGATGAAGTATAGTACAGACCGGAAGTACATCTTGAGCAGCGAGGGCACGGCGTGTGGGTCGCGCGTGGTGGGGGGCGCGGCCAGGTCGGGGGGGCAGCCCGCGTCGAAGGCGGCGCGCAGGCGCTGCGTCAGCCCCGCGCCGCCCGACAGACGGTACACGCCGTCCACCGCGCCGCGCGCCTCGATCGCACGGGCGCACTCCACCAGCACCTGCGGGACTGGACCAACCAATTCAGTATTTAGTTTTTAGTCAGTAAGAGTCTGACACTCTCTCGTCTTTTCCTGGGCTTGAAAAGCTTTCCTTGACTTAGTGACCTAAGGGACTGCGACCAACGATTTGAGTATTATGCTCGGTCAAAAATTAATACCTCCAAGATTTCAATACAATTTAATATTACAAAAATAATAGTTTTTTACGTGAAAGGTCGGCAAACGAGCAGACGGATTACCTGATGGTAAGCAATCAGCGCCGCCCATAGACACTCGAAAACCTAAGAAGTGAACCTTGGGGGTTGATGGGTGAGGATTGAGCTTCCAGTAACCTCACTCACACGGCGAAACACAACGCTGTAGTTATTTAACGATAGTTTTCTGTGAGATTGTGGTATCAATCAGGTCGAGCCTAACCATTCGTACCAAATCATAACTCTTACATTTCAACTCCATTTAATAAGTGGGCTGTTATATTATCTATGGATACTCTCTCTTTGGACCATAGACAGGGGTCGATTTGATTTGAGCCCTAGTATTTTTTTTGTTTTTTGAGCAGACGGATTACCTGATGGTAAGCAATCAGCGCCGCCCATGGACACCCGCAACGGACGAGTTACGAGTGCGTTGCCGACCTTTTAGGAATTAGGGATTTGGAGATTTAGGGATTGAGGAGGGATTGGGGGAGGCGAAGGATTGGGCCTCCGGTAACCTCAATCACGATAATTATGATGACTTACCATCATGTCCGCAATTCAGCAGATGTTCCCCAAGGTCACATCCGAACACCCTCTCCCGAAGTATGCCCTGCTGTTTGAGGCTCCTGCGCGAAGGTCGCGACAGTATGAAGCTTCGGAACAGGGAGATCAGCTTCCCGTGTTTGCGTAGAACCGGCTTTATGGGCGCTACCGCTACTGATCTGTAATAGGAGAAAAAGATGGATAGATTTTCATATATTGTTGCTACTATGGTAGCATTTACTATAGTCAGAATTTTAATTCGATTCCAGATTTGACAATAGCCTCTGTCATTTTGTGAAATAATGATACCACATATTACAGTGTAGTGATGAACACAAATATCGATAAACTATTCGTGAATCAGTAACAGGAAGGCATTCAAAAAATTACGGCTACCGAATGGTCTAAATGCGTATCCCATGTTGTCAAAGAAGAGAAAAAAATTAGTACTTAGATAATAAATGTTACAGAAAGCAACAGCAATAGCGATAGCGATGACGGCGACAATTTATAAAATAAATTATTACCATAATAGATCACATTTTTTATTAATTTCACACACAATTATAAAAGAAAAGTGTCAGATCGTTAATTAATTGTCAAAACTAAATTATCGGTTCAGAAATATTTAATTTCCTGATAAACTTAGTTCACGAGAGTAAATTTATAAACGAAAGTAATCGATTCGGTAATATTCGATTTCCATATCGAATAATTTTGCAACGTCACTATTTAATACTTGTCATAACTTGTCATAACGTTGCAACACTGAAATTGTCAAATCAGGAATCTAATTAAAATTCCGAGTATAGGAAATTTTTTTTAGGGTATAGTTGTTTCACGACGGTTTTCTATGAGGGCGTAGTATCACTCCGGTAGAGCCGACACGTTCGTGCCGAAGCATGGCTTTCCCACACTATTTCCTATACATTTTTTTAAAGGCAAAGCATTTTATTGTTTCAACGTTAAAAGTTGAATTAATTCAACTTAGAACGGACGAATAAAAGTTTGATTTGACTTGACACTATAAGAGTTTTTTTTTTCAGTTAATTCACGCGAATAAGTTGTTATCTATACTATTATTATAAAGAGGTAAAATTTGTAAGTTTGTATGTATGGGGGTAATCTTTGGAACCGCTGGTCGGATTGCCAATATTCTTTCACTCATAGATAGCTACAATGTTCCTGAGTGCTTATAGGCTATGAAACATCACGCTACAATCAAATGAAGCTGAGTAGCGAGTGAAATCGCGCGAGAGTCTATACTTAGTCGGGTCATAAGTTCTGTCACAAACTTTTGATGTAATAACTTATACGCCTTTTGACAATTATTTAAAAATTATATATGAAATGAAAGGTCATTAAATGTACAATATAATTTTATTTACATTATTCGAAATGCCCTCCCCCATTTTGAACACATGCCCTTAATCTACGCGGCCAGTCATCGATCGCTGCACGCACCACATTCATATCTATGTCTGCCGCTGCTTTAACCAGAGATGCTCGGAGAGACTCCAAATTCGGGTGAGGTTTAGCACAGACTTTTTCCTCCAAATATTGCCATATCTTGTAGTCCAGTGGGTTTAAATCTGGACTAGAAGAGGGCCAGTCTTCATGCCGGATGAAGTCAATTCCACGAGCGATCAACCAGTCTTGCGTACTTCGTGCCTTATGAGCCGGTGCAGAGTCCTGTTGGAATATCCAATGCCTGTTCCTGAACATTGTCTGAGAAAGAGGTTCCACTATGTTTGTTAGGACAGTATTTTGATAAACTTCGGCACTAGTTCTCACACCTTTTTCACAGAAAAACACCTCAGTTACGCCTGAATATGAGACTCCAAGCCAAACCATGAATGAGGAAGGGTAATGCCCACGCTGGACCCTCGCAATACGCGCGCTTGCTTCTTCACTGCTGTGGGCATACACCTTATCATTTTGTTTGTTAAAACTTTCTTCAATAGTAAAAATTTTTTCATCCGAAAAAAGAATTTCGCGGTATTTTTTTCCCGCGTACCGTCGTAGCAAAGCGCGGGATCTGTCTAGCCTAATTTTTTTAAACGCTCGTTCAAAAATGTCCTGTCTTTTTACGATAAGCTCGTAGTCCCAGGTCTTCATTTAGTACTCTTTTAACAGTGGTTCTGCTTAGCCCCATCTGCAGAGCTAGGATTTTTTGTTTACGTACGGGATTTCGTTCGATTCGCGCCTTCACTGCTTTGATGACCTTATGTGTCCGAACTGTGCGAGGTCGGCCGCTTCTCTTACGATCTTCGAAGCTTGACTCTTCGGTGTATCGTTTGATAGTACGATAAACAAACCGTAACGTTATTTTCAAATTTTGAAGAATATTGAAAATGTCTTTTGGCGCGTAACCACAGCGGTGCAACGCGATAACCGCGATTCTGTCTTCTTTATTCGACCACTCCATATTTAAAAATGAATAAAAAATAATTTCTTTTTTATTTTCTACAAGCGCGAAAGTTCTATTTTTAAAATAAGTCGAAGAATTTCTGGCCAGTAATCGAAAATTAAAAATATAAGGTTTTGACAGAACTTATGACCCGACTAAGTATATAGTCTATACTATTAGTATAAAGAGGAAAAATTTGTAAGTTCGTAAGTAGGGGGTAACCTTTGGAACCGCTGGTCGGATTACCAAAATTCTTTCACTGATAGATAGCTACAATGTTCCTAAGTTCTATGGGCTATAAAACATCACGCTATGATCAAATGGAGCCGAACAGCGAGTGAAAGCGCGGGACCGTAGCTGGCTTAAATTACGTAAGTACGTCTCACAGTCTCACGATAGTTGCTATTCAAAAATAATAAAATTTCACAAAGATATATAGATTAACATATAAGAATAATATGAATACTCACCCAACAATAGGGGGCGGCTGCGTCATATGTCGCGGTACCTTGTCCCCGATGACGGCGACGCAGTGGTGGGGGAAGAAGCCCACGCGGAAGCCCCGCTTGCCGCGCCACCACAGCGACTCCGCCGGACCTGGCACAGCTTGGCACCATCAGTATATATGTAGGCAGGGGGAGGGGGGATAGGGGACGCACTGGTGCCTATTTTTTATGTAATAAGTCGGCAAACGAGCAGACGAATTACCTGATGGTAAGCAATCAGCGCCGCCCATGGACACCCGCAACGGAGGACTTACGTGTGCGTTGCCGACCTTTTAGGGATTAGGGATTTGGAGTTTAGGGATTGGGGAAGGGTCCGGGAAGGGGAAGGATTGGGCCTCCGGTAACCTCACTCACATGGCGAAACACAACGCTGTGGTTGTTTCACGCCGGTTTTCTGTGAGGCCGTGGTATCACTCCGGTCAAGACGACCCATTCGTGCCGAAGCATGGCTCTCCCACACTTAATTGCTCTCCAACACTGCCTGGCACCATCAGTAATGTATAACCCGTGCCGATAAAGAATGGGATAAGAAATGGCGGCGCACCTATTTACTTCTCGCTCACACATTATTTCCGTCTATACTCACACTCGTTGGTACCGACTGACAAAAAAAAGCATAACAGACAGACAGAGAGACAGAGTTACTTACACATTTATAATATCAGTATGGATATTTGAGATTATTTAAAGTTATGAAGCGAAAATAGTTTATATCCAACCTTATTATTTCGATTCAGTTGATGGTTTTGTTGACAATTTGTGTACCCAAGTACGTAGGAGTCTCAAAACGATCACAAATTTTAATAACATAAGTATTATTTTAATTCATGTAATAACGAAACACTTTCAACGGTAACGATGTTTTTTTAACGTAATTCAGTTATTAGTTTTTTTTTCTTTTTTTTTATCTGCTATCAGTCCACTCAGACTATGATCAGATGCGTGGAGATACTAGTTATTAGTTAAATTTATTTTTATTGCATTTTATGCTGACGCTCCCAGCTCAATGAGCCGCCATTTCTAATCCCATTCTTTATCAGCACGGCCCGTGACGATAAAGAATGGGACCTACCTAGGTACTACCTGTGCCGCACGGGTAATACCTAGGGTAGAGGAGGGAATGGGAGGGACGCGCTAGTGCTTGGGGCCATCAATATTTTTGTAACTAGGGAAAAGGGGGGTGCACATTGATTCTTGACGCCATCAGAGCAGTGGGCACTTGTAGGATGATGTGAAGTAAAATAAAATGAATATTAAACTTACCAGGCATATCTATTATAGATATCATATCGCCAACTTCGAAACTGATTTCGTCGCGCGCCTGTAACAAAGAAAAACATTATAAAAATAAAGTATCCTATTAATATTATATACGCGAAAGTTTGTAATTACGGTTTCGCAACGAGCAGACGGATTACCTGATGGTAAGCAATCGGCGCCGCCCATGGACACCCGCAACACCAAAGGAGTAACGAGCGCGTTGCCGGCCGTTTAGGGAGATTAGAGTACGGATATTTAAGGATTAGGAAGGAATGGGTTAGGGAGAGGGATTGCTTACCATCAGGCGATCCGTCTGCCCGTTTGCTTTACAGTACTATAGTAAAAAAAGAATAATATATGTATGTATATCTATACTAATATAATAAAGAGGTAAAATTTGTAAATTTGTATGTAGGGGATCTTTGGAACCGCTGGTCGGATTGCCAAAATTCTTTCACTGATAGATAGCTACAATGTTTTGAGTGATATAGGCTATAAAACATCACGCGACGATCAAATGGAGCCGAACAGCGAGTGAAACCGAGAAGAGTAGCTAGTATATTATATGAACGTACCTGCGACACATATTTTCTAACGGAGTATGCAGCGGCGACGGCCGGCGTGTTGATTGAGGACGAGTCTTCGTTCGCTACAAGCAGTTTGTGACCTGAGGAACAAATATACAAATAACTTTATTATGCATATATACAATACCGCCAACGTATCTTGGCGAGTCTGAAGTTAGCCGTTTGTCTGCGCAATGGATCTTTTGAGGAACAAAATTGTGTATCCTTGTGGATACGCGACAAAGTGAACGAGAGCTCAGCTCGGGTGTCACTAAATAGTACCTGTCTAGTATACAAATAGCCAAAAACATTTTTCGACAACCCCCAGTTAATTAAAAAAAGAACATGTAGCAATTAACTCCCTTATGTATCATATTTTAAAAAAAGATTGTATTTACTTATTATGATGTAAAATGTATTCATATCTGAATAATTTGGATAATATTTTCACACACGCACACTTTCTTCTATATTCACATTATGTTCCTTACTTCTTTTCTTTACTGATTGGCGGTACCGCCGTCCGTGACGTGAGTCAGTGCAGGGTGCCACCTGAAAATCAGCGTTGAGCATATTTGCTCAACTATATGCTGAGGTGGAGGCCCTTTTGGCATGGGCACATGAATATTATTATTTTTACGTTTTATTTTCGTTTTTTTTTTCTTTTTTAATACTTTATATGTTATTCTTGTTTTGTTTATTAATTTATTATTGTATTCATAAATACTGTGTTCTTATTATGTATTTTTATATACTTGTATTTGTGTGCCTATTTGTCGAATAAATGTGTTTTCTTTCTTTCTTTCTTTCTTTACTGCTCAACTAATCGGCAAAGATACGTCGGCCGTACTGTACATTTTTTTATTATTTCACGTGACCCCGGTCCTTTGGAAGGCGTACAAGCCATGCTTCGGCACGAATGGGTCGGCTCGACCGGAGTGATACCACGGTCTCACAGAAAACCGGCGTGAAACAACCACAGCGTTGTGTTCCGCCGTGTGAGTGACGTTACCGGAGGCTCAATCCTTCTCCCCTATCTTCAATCCTCAAATCCCGAATAACCGACAAGAGGCCAGCAACGCACTTGTAGTAACTCTTTTAGTACTACGAGTGTCCGTGGGTGGCGCTGATTGCTTACCATCAGATAATCCGGCTGATGGTTTGTCGAACTCACATTAAAAAAATGTGACAGGTCAACGAATGAACTGAAGGATATCATCGCAGCCAATAAACACAGTGCGTTGGCTGCGTTTTGGGGATTGGGGATGGGGTTACGGGGGTATTTTGAAGCCTCACTCACACGGCGAAACATAATGCACGCCGTATCACGTCAAAATTCTGTGAAACCGTGGTATCACTTCTGTCGAGCCGACCCATTCGCGGCTCTGCCACACAGTAAGCCGTTAAACATAAAAATATGGGGCGCGTTCGAGAAGCGACTTCAGTGTTTTCATAGTTGTATCTACTGTAGACCCTGGTGTACAGGAGTTGCAGCTGTTTTGAGAGATATAAAATATATTTAAAAATCTACCTTTATTATCCATCTGTAGCCAATTCAGTACGGGTCCACAGTTGATGGAGTCGTCGGCTATGATGGACAGGTGGTGCACGTAGTCGGCTATAAGACGCTGATACTCCCCCTCCGATTGGGTGAGGGACGATGATATTTTCTCACGGAGGTTCGGCAACCCTGATACTTTGCGGTCGTATATACATCTGTGGAGAGAGATAAAATATTTATAGATGGGTATAATATAGGTTTATAATGTTTAGTTGATAGCACGAATTCCAAAAACGAATAATCGATTATATTAAATTGTCGTTGCTATGCTTTAGGCCTCTGGTTACCTCATTGATAAAACGAGACGTGGGTTTTCTCAGAGGTTCAGAGGTTATGTTATCACCCCGGTCCAGCCAACCGAATCATGGAGAGATGTGATGAATTCTTTTTTTATGTCAGCAAACGAAGTGACATATAACCTGATGGTAAGCAATCGGCGCCGCATAGGGACACCCACACTACTTACCAGAGGAGTTACGACTGCGTTGTGTTTTGGGGATTAGGGTTTCGGAGATTTAGGAATTCTGAAGCGATAGGGGGAGGGGAAAGATTGGGCTTCTGGTAACGTCACTTGCACGACGAAACAGCTGTTTCATATTGATTTTCTGTGAGACCGTGGAGCATGGCTCTCCCACACTAACTCATGTCTCACGCCTTCCAATCGCCATGATATGGTCAAAAGCGTTGCGATTTTTGCCAACTTTCTGCTTTCTGTCAGCATATTTTTTTACTGATACGACCTTTAAACCTTCAAGAAAAGAGTGTATTCCTTCTTAGAAGACCAGCAATGCACTTGTGACTCCTCTTATGTGGCGAGTGTCCCTGGGCAGCGCTGATCGCTTACCATCAGGAGATCCGTGTACTCATTTGGCTCCTAGACCGATGAAAAATATAGTCCCACTGGAGCTAACGAAGAATACAGTATACTAAGGAGTAGACCATCACTGACCTGTGCAGCATATCATCGAGCTGGAGAAGGTTGTCCCTGTTCCTGGTGAGGGTCCACTCCCGGACGGAACTGGCCTCCGTCCAGCTGGAGCTGAGGGCGCGCGGAGAGCCCTCCTCGCAGGAATTCACGTGCGAACGGACTTTCAGGCAGATCCATCCTGAAATGAGATTTTTTGACATTTTATTATTGTTTTTTTTTATGTAGTAGGTCGGCAAACGAGCAGACGGATTACCTGATGGTAAGCAATCAGCGTCGCCCATGGACATCCGCAACATCAGAGGAGTTACGAGTGCTTTGCCGACCTTTTGGGGGTTAGGGATTTGGGAGATTTAGGGATTAGGGAGGGACAGGAGTGGACGCCATGTTATTGAGGTTACCGGAGGCCTAATCCTTTCCCTCCCCAATCCCTAAATCTCCAAATCTCTCATCCAATTTTTTTATGTAATAGGTCGGCAAACGAGCAGACGGATTACCTGATGGTAAGCAATCAGCGCCGCCCATGGACACTCGCAACGGAGGAGTTACGAGTGCGTTGCCGACCTTTTAGGGATTAGGGATTTGGAGATTTAGGGATTGAGGAGGGATTGGGGAAGGGGAAGGATTGGGCCTCCGGTAACCTCACTCACAGGGCGAAACACAACGCAGTGGTTATTTCACGCCGGTTTTCTGTGAGGCCGTGGTATCACTCCGGTCGAGTCGACCCATTAGTGTCGAAGCATGGCTCTCCCACACTTAACACTTAACTTACTTTTAAATACATAAAACCAAACATAATTACGTATTCCATGTGTTTACCTTCATCCAGCGAATCCTGGCACTTCTCCTCACATTTGACGGTTTCTATGCTGAGTCCTCCGAGTGAGACCCTCTCGTAATGGAAGTGGGCACACTCCTCCAGCTTCGGGAAACGGCAGGCGGGCAGGGGAGGGGCCGGCTGGAAGGTAGAAAACACAATAGATATTAAGACATGTCCAAAGTTTTAAGAGTAAATTAAAAAGTACTTTTTAAATTTGTGTAGTTATTTAATTAGCTATAAAATTACAGTATGAGGAATCCAAACCCAATACTCTGTGACTTTTTTTTTGTCAGGGGAAAATCATCAAATGACTTCTCCCACCCAGGGTTAGGTCAAACAGAGTGTCAGACTCTTACTGACTAAAAATCCCCCCGTTCCTTCTCCTGCTCTGGGCCGGCCGTACAGACATATTCTCCCTAGATCTCGAGCTTCACGCTTCCTCCCGCTCCACATCATTCCGATGCCAGACGCTTTTTCCATCCCAACAGTACGACACCATGCACCGCCACGAATGGGTGATACCACGGCCTCACAGAAAACCCACGTCCAAAAATGGGGGTGTCGTGTTGCACCGTGTCAGTGAGGTTACCGGAAGCCCAAACCTTCCCCTCCCTAAACCCCAAAACCCAGAAGGTCGGCAACGCACTCGTAACTCTTCGATGTTGCGGATGTCCATGGGCGGCGCTGATTGCTTACCATCAGGTAATTCATCTGGTCGATTGCCCTCCTATCACATAAAATAATAATAATATAAAAACATACCGTATCGTCATCATCGTAGTTGACGGAGGCGGAAGGCAGCGATTGGCTCATAGCTGATCCCTGTGACGTCACTGGGGTCACCGTCAACGCCGTCAGGGATATAGATCCTGGAAATTTTTAATAATATTTTAAGTTGCCCTGCACTAGGATTTCTCCTGTGTCGTAGCTGATTTTTTATAGTCAAAAAATGGTTATCTATGGAGTAAAATTGTTGCTGGACGCGACAGCATAATAATTATTCCCTACGTAACTTTTACGAGTATTAAAACACTAGCTTTTGCCTACGACTTTTTTGTTCGCGTGGAATAGTGAGTTCCTGCTTACTTATTTAGGGTTAAAAAACTATCCTATGTTCTCGAGTTCCAAACTGTCTGTACCAAATTTCACAGAAATCGGTTCAGTAGTTTAGGCGTGAAGAAAAGACAGACAGGCAGACAGAGTTACTTTCGCATTTATAATATTAGTTTGGATTGAAAAATGAGGCAACACGAACGAATTCGGGGGCTGGAGTTAAAGTAAAACAATGTCCTCTTTTACTCACCAGGCGTATCCCTCTTGCTCTCTGCATCGTTTGCCCTCGTGGAGCTCCGGGAATCTGAACTGAACCGCACTGATCTGCAAATCAATTACCACTCATTTATTTATATCCACGTGTTTGTTTAAGGTTTAACAACGTAAACTGCTGAATTGATTCTCATATTTAAGTAAAAAAGTCCGAAAAGTTCATGTGCGTGCTAGGACACAAATGGCTTCAATTAGAAGTGGGAGTTTTTTAAAATATTGATATTGAAGAAAATATGTTATTTTTTGTCAGGGGAAAATCATCTAATGACTTCTCCCGCCCAGGGTAAGGCGAGAGAGTGTCAGAAAAAAACCCCCCATTAATTCTCCTGCTCTGGTCCAAGGTCGCGGTGCCTCATCGCGCTTACCCCGCAACCCCAACTGAACATCAGCCCTATTGAGCCCGGAGAAAATATGATATAGTGTCGCTAAGAGTCAATAAGGACCAAATGACAACTTTCAAGACCCCTCGCTTGCAGTAGAGGCATTAGCGAAGTAGCTATTGGTGAAGCCAATGATTACGTGCTTAAAGATACGAGAATAGCCCTTCTGGAAAGGTCCACAATGCGGCTGTGACACCTCTAGAGTTGCGGATCGCTTACCATCAGGTGATCCGTCTGTTCGTTTACTTCTTATAATCAAAAAATGAGGCTAAAAAGATATTAGCGAGAGGAACTGGGAAGCCGTCTGCTCCTTCTACGAAGCAGTGATGCTTGCAAAGGAGGAGGCGGAGCGCGTGAGGGAACTATCCTTTTCGCGCCCCAGCCGTCGCAGTAGGCGACATTCCGGGCGTCGGGGATCGAGAGATGATCTCCGGCCACCGTAAGCGCGGGTCTGCGGACGGCGAGTATGGGCAGCTCGCCGCCCGACCAGAACCCGAGCGTACGGCGCGTAGCGTTCGGCGCGCGCCTCAAAGAGCCAATGGACCACCACAGACGAGGCCCTATAGGGCTAATGTTCAGCCGGGGTTGTGGGTTAAGCGCAATGAGACACCGCGGCCTCGGCCCAGAGCAGGAGAAGGAACGGGGGGGGGGGGGGTTTAATCAGTAAGAGTCTGACAGTCTCTCTCGCCTGGGAGGGAGAAGCAATTTGATGATTTTCCCCTGACAAAAAAAAAGAAGGCTAAAAAGATATGGAGGTATTTATTACTCACCTGTGGAAACTGCTACAATGTGTCATATCCTTCTCGGGCTCGGCGAAGGCGCGAGCGGCGAGCGACTGACACGACATTACCGATCCGTGGGGGGAGCCCTGAAAGCAAAGAGAATACAAACATCAGAACTGGATGATAGAGAACAGCCGGAGTTGAGGGTGCAACCGCCTTAACACGTTAAGCGCCATGGGGGTCACCTTCGTTAGCGGAGGATTTGCCTTCAACAATTTTCTGTCGGCACTACTGTACCGCAGACCCAGACCGGAGTAAGCAAAGATACGGGACGATTTTGAGCCTGACACTCCCTTTGTCATTAAAGTCTGACAGGAGAATGTCTGGGGAGGATTTGATGATTCTCTCCTATACAGAAATATAATCATTCATCGCCGATTTCTGTTTGATAACTTATTGGCGTCAATTATGAGCTCCCATTGATACCATGAAGCCGGAAAATCCACCTAATAGCAGTATATAAATTATACAAGAATATTCCGGGAATTAACACATTTTTGCTGTGCCCATTAGGGTCCACATAATTGTGGCAATTTTAACAAGGTTTCATTTTATTTTCCATTCGACCTTATGTACTTCATGGAATGCAATATACAATGTCCAATTATTTGTATCTCTATTCCGTACTCCATATAAGTACTCTTCTTTCTTCGTGAGAGAGAGAGAGAGAGAGAGAGAGAGAGAGAGAGAGAGAGAAAGAGAGATCTGTTTTAGTTCAGCCATGTTTGTATTATTAGGCTTGTCGTTCCGGATCTAAGCCGTACCTAAGTATTACGCGAAAAAACATCAATACACAACATTGCGACTATAAAACTTAAAAACAAAAACCATAATAAATATCACGAAATACTACGCTGCAATCAAACAGATGTATAAAAGTAAATTCCAAAAGACCCATACAAAAATGTTCGTATTTGGAGAAAATATGTATTATGAAGTAGGTCGGAAAGACTTTAATGGGCTATATATATGTGTGTCCTATAAAACGATGAGGTGGGGCTTCAGTGTGAGCGGGTAGCGGGTGACGGTTTTAAGAGTGAAAAAGACAGCGATTTGGCGTGTAGAAGTTGTCTTCTATACTAAGATAATGTTGACGAGTTTGTTTATTTTAGCGCACTGACCTATAGAACTACTGGATCGTTTAAATCTATAGAAAATATAGGTAAGTATTTAAAAGGAATCGAAAAATATGTATGTTGGTATTGATAGTCTTCATCTAGTTTTTCACATATAATTTGACGTGTAAAAGTGCCGTTTTCTGGCCTATTTGCAAAAATAAATTCATTGTTTTGTTTCATTGATAAGCACATAACTCAATAACACCTGGACCAATTTTGCCAATTCGGTTTTTGTTGTATTTGTTATTGTCAAAAGGTTCTTATGGAAGAAGTCTTAGAAAAATAGAAGGGAAAATTGGAAAATATCTATGTTTTCGGCGTTACCGAGCTATTAAGACCCTAGTGCGAAGCAGGGTAGGCCTGTATATGATTTTATAGAGATAATATCACTAACTACTTAAAAAATCCTAAGAAAAATAAACGAATACTTAAATTAATTATTGTACTGACTGTACGATTGGCACAGGGGCTGGGCAGCCAGCTGTCGTACGAAATAACTCTGTCTGAGATCCACATATTCCTGTTTGTAAACGCATCCACGATAAAAGTAAAATCTTAGTATGGGTGCAACGTTAAAAAATTGTAGATTATAAGATCTAGGCACACGAACGAATTTTACTACAAAGACTCGACCTTCGATGAACTAGGACAAGGAGAGAAAAGTATAAAAAATAAAAATACTGTCTGATCGCTCACACTGCCACCACGCACAAACTAACAAAAATCGTAGAGCAAGGCGTTAACGTCAACCTAGTTTTGAAGACATTTTATGGCATTATAAAATTAATGTTATGTCGGAATGTTCTCTTTATAATAATCACATTATACTGTTGTGTTTGTTGTCGATGGCGTTGCTGTGTTCCGATATTATTATTACATATGTAAATATGTCCAATCACGGGACAGGATCCCGGTTATTGTCACCCGGGGTTGTGGGTCAAGCTAGCGCATAGAGAACTAAACCTCTTTCTCTATGGTCAAGCAAGCGCAATAAGGTACCGAGGTCTCGGCTTCGAGGAGAAGAAGGAACGGGGTGGTTTTTCGTCCGTAAGAATCTGAAAGTTTGATGATAGTGAATAAGAGTCCCGTTGTGAATTAAAACTAGTAGATTTTTTTGTTTTCACAGCAATCAGCAACTATGAACTCGACTAGATAAAAATGACTTAGATATAAATGTGGTATTTGAATATTTCGTTAACTATCTGTTGAATAAATAAATTAACCGTTTTGACGTGAACAAAATACACGGTGCTGAGATAAAAAATAAACAAACTAGTCTATTCTTATAAATAAATATGAAGAGGAAATATTTGATACGGTTGCTAGGCGTTGAACATGCTTTGATCTCCAAAACTACTGGACTTATTTGAGTGATTCTTTAACCTTTCGAAAGCTTATTCTTCATGGAGTAATATAGGGTACTTCTATATGACTGCACGGTTGGTGCGGTGGCTGGGCAACTGGCTGCCGTGCAACGTGTCGCGGGTTCGATTCCCGCACGGAACAACTCTTTGTGTGATCCACAAATTGTTGTTCCGGGTCTGGGTGTCTTGTGTATGTGAAATTGTATGTTTGTAACAGCATCCACGACACAGGAGAAAATCTTATGTGGGGCAACGTTTTTGTAAAAAACAAAAAAAAACAAAAAAAATATTAATTAATATTCTTATAGGACCGAAACTGAAAAGTGGAAATCTAGCTCTTAGGTGCCGTGAAACAGGGCGAATAGAATTGGGGGGTTCAACCCTCTTCTGTGTCTATTCAGCCCTCAAATTTTATTCACCCCGTTTTACCATACATATGCCGCGGGTCGACTAAAAGTAGGAGAAGGAACGGGGTGGTATTTAGTCAGTAAGAGTCTAACGCTGCCTTTCGCCCCACCCTAGGCAGAAGAAGGCACGGAATAACACCCACCATCCTTCAAAAAGTTTGATGAAAAATCATCCAATCACTTCTCCCATCCTGTCCGTGTGTAAGAATGAGAAAAACTCAAAAACTGCTGAACGGATTTTTGCACTGTTTTCACTAAGGAATAGTGGGATTCTTGAGATAGCTTAAGATGTTTTTTAATGCCTATAGTATCAAATAAAACCTAACGACGTTTAATCTTAAAGCAATTAAAACTGTATAATAACTAGTTAAGTAGTTTAACATTTAACGAATTGGTTTAATTGTGTGATAAAGTGAACAATGTTTGAGTATTGGATTTATCTATACAGTATACGATATTTTGAAGTGCCTAGCGCAGTTAGCGTAGCGATAAGGTTCAAGTGGATTGTTTAAAAGTATATTAGATTATGTTGTATTGATTTTTTTTCAAGATAAGGTAGGTAGTTAACAGTATTTTAAACTGCCATTCTCAAAGTAACTTTAACACTAATTATCATCAGAATCATCAGCCAGAAAGGCCTCATCCTTGAGTCATCTACGTCGAACGACAACTTGCCTCTTGCACTCACTACCTAGTAATGATTTAGGGATTGGGGAGGGGTGGTGGAAATCGAGAAGCCTCCGGTAATCTCACTCAAACGGCGACACACAACGCTGTGGTTGTTTCACGCTGGTTTAGTATGAGATGTCATTCCGGTCTAGCCGGCACATCGTGGAGAAGTATGACTCTCAGACTTAGCACGAGTGATTGAAATCTGTGATAGTGTCATCATCAATCTAAACACGCTTACAGCTGGAAAATGTTTTTCTTCTTTTTGCTAAACAAAACATAGTAGGTAGTTTGCCATAACACCCATGCTAGCAGACACCTTAAGGAACGCACTTAGATTACGGATAATTAAGAAGAATAAGAACGAGGCGTTTCGGTTCATCAAGAACTACTTAGAGGTGGTATCCTTTGCCAGAGCCAGTGTTTATTGAAGGGTATGACGTAGGCGTTTTTGATGCCATTAAGCCGGAAAATCCACCTAATACTTGTATATAAATTATACAAGAATATATTAGTAACACGTAGGTAATTGCTGTACGCAACAGGGTCCATAATTGCGATAATTTTATATTTCTTTTCCACCTTTATGGACTGCATTGATTGGCCTTGTCGTTTCGGGCCTAAGCCTAAGTATTACGCGAAAAAACATCAATACACAACATTGCGGCTATCATCATCATCTTCCTGCCCTTGTCCCGTTTTATTTGGGGTCGGTGCAATATGTTTTTTTCTTCCATTCTGTCCTGTCACTCGTCACGCTATCGCTAACTCCTCTGTCTTCCATATGTGAGAAGTGATATGGACCATATCACTTCTCACACAATCCATCCATATTTTCTTTGGTCTCCCCCTCCCTCTCCATCCATCCACATTTATACTCATGACTCTTTTGACAACATTGCGGCTATAAAACTTAAAAACAAAAACACCAATGAATATCACCAAATACCACGATGCAGTCAAAGAGATGTATGAAAAATAAATTCCAAAAGACTCGTATCAAAATGTTCGTATTTGGACAAAATATGTATCATGAAGTAGGTCGGAAAGACTTTAGTGGGCTATATATGTGTGTCCTATAAAATGCTGAGGTGGGGCTTCAGTGTAAGCGGGTAGCGGGTGACGGTTTTAAGAGTGAAAAAGATAGCGATTTGGATATAGACGCGGTTGTATTCTATACCTATAATATATATATAATACCTATACCTATATATATAATGTTGACGAGTTTGTTTATTTTAGCGCACTGACCTTTAGAACTACTGGATCTTTTAAATCTATATAGGTAAGTATTTAAAAGGAATCGAAAAATATGTATGTTGGTATTGATAGTCTTCATCTAGTTTTTCACATATAATTTGACGTGTAAAAGTGCCGTTTTATGGCCTATTTGCAAAAATAAATTCATTGTTTCATTGTTTTGTTTCATTGATAAGCACATAACTCAATAACGCCTGGACCAATTTTGCCAATTAGTTTTTTGCTGTGTTTGTTATTGTCAGAAGGTACTTATGGAAGAAATGTTGGAAAAATAGAAGGGGAAGTTGGAAAATATCTACGCTTCCGTCGTTACCGAGCTATTAAGACCCTAGTGCGAAGCAGGGTAGGCCTGTATATGATTTTATAGAGATAATATCACTAACTACTTAAAAAATCCTAAGAAAAAAAAACGAATACTTAAATTAATTATTGTACCGACTGTAGGATTGGCACAGGGGCTGGGCAGCCAGCTGTCGTACGAAAT